GTAGGATAAAAAATTGGTTCAAAGTTTATGGAGTAGTATTTCATTAATATTTCATCTTGCAGGTAATCAAAGGAAGGATTTTGTTTGGAGTTTGAAAAATACAGGAGGGCATGGGAGGGCTGTTTGTATGGGATTTGACCTGCAAACCTCCAGAAGTGTTTTAATGTGACATCCTTACACTCCTACACCTAATGTGAATTAAGGGATTCTTTAAGTTGACTTACAGCATCATTGGTCATCCCTTTACTACCTCATCCCTTTCAATCTTTGTCATTTCCTTCTCCCTGCACTATTAAATTTGTGAGACTACCATGCTCTTTGTCCTTGGGTTCTGTTCTGGTACCTGGACTTTTCTGGACTTGGAAATACTGTGAGAAACAAGAATTTACTGGATATAGTATTACATGTTTTGCATTTGATACACTTTAATGGCAGATTTGCAATTCCAGCCACTTATGAACTGATCTCTGCTTTCCATATGTTGCTTGGATTATCTAATGTAACTGTGCAAAATTTCTTCCTCCTGGTTCTTGGAGAAGTGAAGTGTGAGCTGTGTATAGTACTCATGCTTGAAAACAGTGTCTTCCTCTTGAAAAGTGTGTGCAGAAAGCATATGTATGAAGGAAAGTTATTTGTAATTGAATTGATCATATCACGTTTTCCTTCTTTTGCTTTGGATCATAATAAATATTTTCCTCCATAATTGTACTAGCTGAGTTAAAATTACTCCAAGTTCTGCATCCCGGTGTCTACTTAAAAAATATAACTGTGTTTATGTTAAAGGCAAAGTTATGAAGAATGAATGCAGATGATAATTGCCATAGGCATTTCCAGGAAGTTTCTAAATAACTGTAAGATCCATAACTCTGAAACTTTCTCTAAAGTATTTGTTTCAGTGACACGTAGAGTCTTTGGCACCAAAAGTCCATTCGAGTGCTTGTAGTCCAAATAAACATTCAGCTTTATGATGTCCCTAGTGGCTGGACTAATTTGTGCTGTTTTGTGATTGCAGTGCTATAATTCTGTGCTTTAGCTGTTCCCACAACATCTTGGAAGTCAGCAGTTAAGATCAGGTTTCCTGACAGTTTGGTGTCTTTACATGTATGTCCAGTGATTCATTGTCTTGGGATGTTTGTAAATGGTGAGGTCTTGACATGCTTTTGGGGTGGATGGGAAGTGCCATCTTTCTACTAAAGAAAACACAGAATTATGTATACGTGGGGGATTCCTTTTACATGACTGTAAGAGGTCAAAGAACTTTATTTATCTGCTTGGTATAGTAAATTTTATTGAAATTTGGAGAGGAGTATAGTTTTCATGAGTCTTACTGACTTGGTTTCAGTGAAAAATTAAAATTTATTAACAGAAACTAAACCTTTGTCTTGCAATATTTCCTAGTTCCTTTTGCTGGATGCAGAAATATTTCTGACTCACAATGGCTCGAATTTGGGTTCAACAATCTCTGCTGAAACCCACAGTCATCTAGATAAAACTTACCTAAACTGACACAGTTATAGAAGCTGCTCCACAAGGGCTTACAGTAAAAGCTGCAAGCAGGAGACACAGGTTTCAGGGCAGTAATAGGAGCCCATGTTCTGCAGGATTGGGTATGGCTGCTGAGGAAGGTCAGAAGCACACAATGCCTGGTCAAGTCTGCAAGTGCACATTGGTCAAGCTGCGTTGTTCTTTGAGCATATTGCCTGTTGTGGTCCCTGCATGCCATCTCCTTTCAGTGCAGATTAAAGGCCTGGGTCTTATTTAATCTCCAGTAGAGTGCATGGCTGAGCTGGTCCACACAACAGCTTCTTAGTTTCTCTTTGAGCTTGAACACAGAAGAATAAAGATTCATGACTCCCCACCCCCTGCCCGAGTAAGTTGACCTCTTGGAGGCATCTCTTCACCTAGTGGTGTGTGGATAATGCAGGGCTATGTACAGAAAGAGAAGAGCAGGCTTTCTGATAGGACAGAGCCCAGGTCCTTTCTTTTGGGGAGCATTCAAGTGTGTTAGGCTAAAATAGAAAACAGGTGAAAGAGGCCTGCACCATGCCACTTATCATCTAAGTTTCCCTTGCAGCAATAGATGCTTCATCTTAAACCTTGGGGAGTGACTTCTTTCTTATGTTTCTTACTGGGTTTTTTTTTGTGTGTGTGTTTTGTTTTTTTTTTTTACCAATCTGATCTCTCATACACCACTGACTGCTTTTTATGGTGGTCCCCAGTAATGACTCAAAAGTTCTGACTCTAGAGAGGCTCCTGATGGGGTCCTGTACCTCAAACTCTCACCCTTCTGCCACTTTTTAAATTTTGCAGCTCAATCAGTTGAATCTGTAGATCCTCTGGGCCACAGATAAGCTCTGTCTCAGGAAGAGCAAATGGCCCACCTTTTGGATAGTGAATATTGCATCACACAACCCTTTATGTTCCTAGTCTGAGTGGCTCCTGATTGCTCATGTGTTGTGAACAATCTAACATCCCGTGGCTGTTTGTATTTGTATGAATCTCTTTTACACATATTTATTCAATTGGTCTGTTCTCTTTTCACAATATTAGCCCATCACTTTCCTCTCACATGCAGACATTGTTGCCTTGGCAACAATGAGCAAAGGCACTCCGTGAAAGTATGTACAGATAACTGTGATAAAAAATATATTCTTATCACTGCATTAAATTAAATTAAAAATAAAGAGCCCAGCTATAGAAAATCACTCAAGCAGGTTGACTGATTGAAATGGGATTCATTCATGTGCTACAGTGATTTCCTACATTCCACTCTAAATCACTGCTCTGAGCAAGGATGACTGAAGATTGATGGAGCAGTAGTATGTTTAATGATGTGGCATGAGCAACTATTCAGTAGCTCACTCACACATGAAATCCATGTAACTGTCAGCTCTTAAACTGGCTCGAGGAAAATTATTTTAAGACAATACATTGCCTTACAGATTGCTTATCTTTATGTCTTATCCCTTTCCTCCTGAAAGATTTGGTTTAGGAAATATGATTTCAGAGACTTGGCACTGCTTTTCACTTCTCAAGATGAGATTTGGCTCATGCATCGTTGCCTGCATGAGATGAATGCCTCATCTGAACTTGGAATATACACTTGGAATATACCCCTATCCTTGTTAGTTGAGAGGCATTTCTATTTCCCTACAAGTCCAAGTTGTCCTACCTCCCTGCCATTTGAAAGGAGTGGATCACCCTTTGGAAGCACCCCTTCCTCTGCTTAGTGGGGACAGGGAAGGAGGAATTAATCCCTCTCTCCTTCCCTCTGCACATACCTCTCCTCTGTGTTGAAGGTCGAATCTGATATACCTAGTGTTTGTTTTACATTAGCTAATTTTACTCAATTACAAAATTTCATTACAGTCATTCCTGTTCCCTGGTCTTTTTTGCTGACATGATGGAATTCTTGCTTAGGTGGACCTGGGGCTGAGCCATTGGGAACCAACAGATACCATCAGTATTAGGTTAGGTCACCATAATGGTACATAAGCTTTGCTCCTTCTGAGGACTAAATTTAATCTGAGGAGGTGAGGCAAAATCCAATTACTCTGTGAGAAAATATGGTACCCAGTGGGTGTGCATTGCAGTGTTCAGTTAAAAGGTTTCATTTGAGCTAGACTGGTTTATGCTCTTAGGCTCTGGGGGAAAATCCATCTTGTGCTCAAATGGTACCATCCAATTCATGCCTTAAGCTGGCACATCATAAGCAGTTTGCTGTTGTGGTGTGAGAAATTGGAATTTTGGCACTCCAATTCATTCAACCCCTTTTGGAATGAAAAGTCATGAATCCCTTATGTTTAGTCTCCTGATATTCTCAGCACTATTAGAATTCCGTTTATAACTTCTTGCTTTCCCTGGCTACTGGGATGGTTCTGTTGGTTCTATTGCCATGTATTTATGGACAGTATTATCAGAAAACAGTTCTTCTGGAGTTACTTTGCTGTAACTTTGGTATCAGTTTTAGCACTGTGTACATCTACAGAAGCAAGGAATCACTCCAATGAGTAATTTGCTGAAGGCCAATTTTAATTTATGGAGGCTGTTAAATGAAGAAATATTTTATGAAAGCTGGATCTGTGAGGGAGTGTGCAAGGCCTTTGTTCTCTCTTTGTTCTCTCTTTCTTCTGCTTCTCAGCAGCCTGGTCTGATGACAATTTAGAGTGATGGTGGAAGATATTTTGTGAGCAGAGCATAGAGTCAGGAAAGCTCCTGCAGTCTTTGAGTAGTCATTTATTCGCTATGATGCCAAAATGCAATCTTACCAGCCACAACAGCCATCTGAGAATGAAGCAGAGATGTAAATCACAGAATTAGGGCAGAACTATCTAAGTCCTTCTAAAAGTAAGTCCTTTCATCAGCATGGCTGAGGTCAAGCTTCTGGCCCCAGTGGCATATAATGAAGAAGGTGATCGGTTTTATGATCTAAGTCATTGGCTTTCAGAGTGGAGAGTGTTAAAATGTAGCCAGATTCTGATCTTTGCATCACCCCCAGTGGTAGACTCACTGCTGCTCTTGAACACGGGTGTCCAAACTTCATCTCATTCCCTCAAGTAATCCACAATGCCCTGATAATCACAGAGTCAGTTAGGTTGAAAAAGACATCTAAGATGATAAAGTCCAACCTTTGAACAATCACCACCATGCCATATACCATGGCTCTAAGTGACACATTCAGTCTTTCTTTAAACAATTCCAGGGATGGTGACTCCATCTCCTCCCTGGGCAGACCATTATGCAACAACCTGTGGGACCAGAGTAATTGCAATCACATCTGCGTTTTAGAAAGGCAGACTGTAGTAATTGGAGTGACCTTGGCAAAGTTCAGCAATCACTCATTAGAGATCCCATGTTTCTGGTGCATGTTGATGGAGAGTGATAAAGCCCTGCCTGCCTTGAGTGTGGCACTCCTCCTGTGATGAGGAAGGACTTTGTTGTTTTTCTCCCTCTCTCCATGTGGTTGGTGAGTTCTGATGTCATTTTTCTTTTAACTGCAGGTCACTTCATGGGCAACAACACAGTGATTGATGTTTTAAGGAGAGAAGGGTACGAGGTAGAACACACTCCAGCTGGACAAGCCATCAACAAGTAATGCATGCTTTTACGTAGCTGTACAGCCATTGGCGGGAGTGGGTTTGTAAACAATTATGAAATAGGAATGGTAGCTGGAATTACAACTAAGGCAGCTAGGCTTTTTCTCTCCTTCCCAGCAGTTAGCTTTTCTCTTCCATGAGCTAGTTTAGAAAGGGGATTTTATTTGGTTTTGTTTTGGGGTTTTTTTTTGTTTCATTTGTTTTTTGACTTTTATTGTTGGGGTTGGGGCTCTTTGGTTTGTTGTTGTTGGTTTTGTGGCGGTTTTTTTGTGGGTTTGGGGTTTTTTGGTTTTGGTTTTTCTTTGTTGTTATTTGTTTGTTAGGGTTTTTTTGTATTGTTTTTTTGTTTTGTTGTTGTTGTTAATAAAATTTCCACCCTTGTACGTTTTTAACTGTTAAATGAACAGCCACAGAGTATGCATGCATGCTTCATCAGATCTGGATGCTGTCTCGTATCACACAGGCTCCCAGGTTTCTCTTTCCTCTCTTTTATATATTTGATTGCCGTGCCTTTTAATAATCCCCTTCTTTTATATTGCAATTTTTAAATCTTTCTGTTTACTGTCTCCCAGCCTGGAATCTCATTGCCCGGAGTCTTTGCAAGCTGTCTCTATGACTGATTGCTCTCATGTCCCCTATTTGCTTCTGCATTTTTAAGCTAGGGTACTTGTTGTTCTGGTTCACCCTGCAGCTGTCCTTTGGGATATACCCTTCCTTCTTCTTTTTATCTTTCACTGGATGCTTTTATCCACTGCCATGGTTTCAGTAACTAGAGAATGCCAGATAATCTTCTCCTCCACTCTCTACCAAGAATTACTTGTGCTTTGACTCACCTCTTCCTGGAATTATTGCCACCAGCTTAGGGTCTGTAATCTTTGCTTTCCCCTTCTCCAAACTCTTACTAAAGATGTAACTGTCAGATATACTCACTCTTCGCTCCTAAAAAACCACAAAGGAGAAAATTGGAAATTGATCTCAATTATGGTACTGTTTCCCTTTTATGTTCTGTGCTGGGCATAGTGTCCCTTTTTGGGAGGGACATCCTTGTCCCTCCTACCCAACATTTCTGATAAGGGACTCTCAGGCAGGAGTACTGCCTTTTGATAGGATTTGTGCAGAGGCACAGTTGAGTCTTGGCCTGTGCCAAGGGCTCTACAGGTGTGGTGCAAATTAGTAACAGCTGTTTTTCTCATACTCTGATTGCTTCATCTCTCTTTATACCACCTTAGCTGTTGTCTGAAAACATGGTACTGAAATTCTGGCAGGTCATGTTTCTGTAATGATTCTTGATATAGACATACATCATTAACTCTACATGAAAAAAATTTATTCAAGACTTAGCCCATGATTATATGAATGCCAGCTCCTAACCCTGTTTCTGCCAGTCACATAGTCTGACAACGAGAAGCACCTGTGCTTAAGCACATGACTTAATGATTCTGTGACACTGGAGTTGTGCTAGAAAATCCAGTGTATCAGCGTTTACAAGCATGATAAAAACTAACAAAAAAAAAAAACCTCCAAACCCAAAACAGCCTGCACTGATATTTTCATGCTGTCTTTTCATTCTTAGCTTAGGTATTCCTAAAAACAGCCACAGCAGCTTCTTAAAGCTTAAAGAAAGATAATTTATATAGCTTATATACTTGAGAATAAACAAGATCTGATACTGCACTGTAAAGATGTAACTGTAGGGGCAGACAACTGAATAAAGAAGGGATAGATTTTCACCTAGCAGGAAGGTAGGTATCAAGGTTACTTGGAGTAGCTGGACACCCAGTTCCATAACCACATCATGGGAGTTCATTGTGCAGCCTCTTGTGCCTTCGAAAGCCCTCAGTTTGGCATCAGTTGCATCTTAAACCTCTTATTAGGACTATTAGACAGAACATCTTCCCTGGAGTCTTGATATTAAACCTGAGTAACAAGATGGCACTTTACTGTTAGCATTTCTGGATGACTTGAAAACAGATTTAAAAATATTAAATGCATTTTAAGAAAAATGTGGGTTCAAAGGAAAAGAGCAATTAAGGTGAGGGAACGGACCTGTGATAAGACAGCGTCAGAGTTCTAGGGCTTGGAAGGAAGATTTCACTTGATTTTTATCCTGGGCTTGTTCTAGGAGCAAATAGAGAGCAGCCTGTGACAGTAAACCCAGCGCTGATCATGTAAATGTAGAGCTGTATCCAGCTATTGTGCCATGTAGTGCTGCAAGCAGTCCAGTCAGTACTTGTGGATTATTTCATTGTTCATGTTTGAGACAGGCTAAAAAGCCAAGTGGTTGAACTGAGACAGAGAGTTTAAATGACTGCTCTGGTGTCAGACACAGTAGGGATATTAATTGAAAGGTTCTAAAATACAAGAAGGAGGAAGTCTGCAGCCATCTCCTTTCCCTCCAACATGACATTTCCCTGTAGCAGCACAGTCTGCTGCTTCCTGTGCTCTGGCTAAACAAAAAGTTCCTTGTGAGATATGTTGTAGATTTCTGTGTGCAGGAACCAATAAGGATGCAGGATAGTCATGCTCTTTTTCCTGTAGCAGGCAGGGCTACAGGAGTACCTGAGGGGTACTTTCCATCTGCTGAGCAAATAGGGTGGATGCCTGTAGTTGGAGACAGAAAGGTTCCTCCTCCCTGGTGTCTCCCAGGCAGGGAAGGCAAAAGAGGTGCTCCAAGCAGACAGTATTGCAAAGGATAGTTTATAAATAGTACCACAAGTTCAGTCAAGCTCCTTCTGACTCACTTTGGTCTTTAACTGTTGTTCCTGATTTTAGAATGTAGTTACATATTGTAAAATATTCAACATAATCGCAGCCATAATTAAGGTGCTTGCTGACTGTCCCTTAGCTGCTGTGATGGGAAATTGGCCTGGGGGGAAGAAGGATGAGCTTTCGAATCTGTGTGCCTTTTCCAGTGGTCTCTAAAATAATTGCCTGCAGGAGGCGTTGCAAAGGAGGTGTGGTATATGGATGTGTCGGAGGCTGCATCTAACAGAATAAATGTCTGGCCATGCAGGATGCAGGTCATCTTCTGCCTGTAGCAGTGCTGAGCTCCACCATGGTGTGGCCATGGGTTCAGAAGGGAAGGCTGTAGGCAGCATAGTACTCTAATCTACAGGGGCAGGAGGCTGCCCACTCTGTGACTTAGTTAAGGAACAAAAACAATGAAGAGAAATGGTGGAAAAGGGAATCATGGGCAGAAGACCTTGAAACAGATTAAATCAGATTGCTGGAGAGAGCTAATAAGAGATCATCACTCTGCAAGGTGGAGTTAAAGAGTGGATGATGTGAAGCAGCTGAGGAGGAGAGCTAAAGGGTGATGACAGTTCAGGGGCAATAAAGTGTGACAATGTGTGACACCACAATGATTTTGAATGAGATTGGTTAGCAGGGTCCATTCTGCAGCAGACTCTCCCATATAAACATCAACATGTGATCACTCTGATTTTCCTTGCAGCAAATAAGACAAATTACCTTTGTTTTCCATCTACTCTCTGTGTTCTAGTCCACAACTTAATTTCCCCTTCTCCAGGAACTACACTCTATTTGCTATCAAATAAGTGTGCATACAGTGATGGGCTAGCTTGAAATCTGCACCCATGCTGAAATATGCCTCCTTCCAGACCACCTCCTTTTAACGTCATTGGAAGCTGAAAAAAGAACACGGCTCTGGGGAAGTTTCATTGATTAAAGGCAGGTTTCTGCTCGGTGGTCTGTGGTTTTGTTACTTTCCTGAATTTCAGCCCAAGCCAGTCTGCACTTTCATTACAGAAGACTGTTGCATTTCTTCTCTTTATGAAGTAGCCATAAAGATCAGTTAGATATTCCTGCTAGGTTCTGTGTATACACAGAGTGGTTTGAGTTTGTGGTTTTGTCCAAGATGCTCATAAACAAGTAACTAGGGAAAACAGTTCTAAACAATGAGAAATGTGGGCCAGCAAAGCCATGAGTGAATAGGACACTGCAGACTGCCTGCCTTAGAGTATAGATGAGGTGTTGCTTGCTCTAAAAATAAAGAAACAGCTTCAATAGTCAGGGTGAAGCTGATTGTTGTTTTTTTCAATTTATCATCTTTGTAGGAAGCTGAGTAGTCATAGCCCTGAGAGCTTTTTCTGGAAGCTCAACTTGAGGTTTCCAATTTGTCTTTTACATGCACATAGTCTCAGTGACGTATCTCTCTGGAGCTCCTTTGAAATTCCTAATAATGCTACCAGCCTAATACAGGATCTGGGCAGCTGGAAGGCTAAGGTCTGACTCCCACTCCCTTGTTACTTGCTATATAAATGTCTGCAAAGCTCAGCTCTGTTTATGAGAGAGATGCAATTTCTCAGTTTCTTCCCCTTCATATAGACCTCCATATCTGTCCATAAAACCCACTAAGACCACCATTTCATGCTCCTTGGTGTGCTTTACCTGAGTGGCAAAACAGCATTATACCCTTTTGCATTCAACCCTAGAAGCCAATGCCAAAATGGTGGTGAGCTCTGGTCTCTTATGAGTCAGCACGTCCTCTGACGTGATGTTTTGTAAAGGCTGTGAATCCACTGCTTTGTACTATCTGCCTTCATCAAGAAGAAAATGAGAAGCGGATGAACTTGGTGGTGCCAAAACTAATCTGCTTTCAATTGGTGCAGACTGGATGGCCCAAAGGATTCCTTAATCGTAGAATCATAGACTGTTAAGGGATTGGAAAGGACTTCAAGGATCATCTGTTCCTATTCCCCCTGCCATGGGCAGGGGCATCTCCCACTAGACAGCTTGCTCAAGGTCTTATGCAACCTGGGTTTGAAAAGTGCCAGGGTTGAGGCACCACAACCTCCCTGGGCAACATCCTCCAGTATTTCACCACCCTCATAGTAAAGAATTTCTTCCCAATGCCTAGCCTAAATGCATCCCTTCTTCAGTTTGTGTCTGTTACTCCTGTCACTACAATTCCTGACAAAGAGTCCCTCTCCAGCTTCCCAGTTGGATCCTTCAGATACTGGGAAGTTGCAAAGAGGTGCAATGAGGTCTTTACACAGCCTGCTTTTCTGACAGACCCACCTTTCTCAGTCTGTCTTGACAGGGGAGGTGCTCCAGCCCTCTTATCAGTGTTGTGGCCTCCTCTGGACTTGCTCCAACAGTTCCATGTCCTATTTATGCTGAGGACCTGAGCTGGATGCAGGGTTCTGAGTGGGCTCTCACCAGAGCAGAGCAGAGGGGCAGAATCCCCTCACTGGCCCTGCTGCCCACGCTGCTCTGGATTCAGCCCAGGATCCCATTGCCTTTCTGGGCTGGGAGTGCCCATGGCTGGGTCATGTTAAGGTTTTCATCAACCATCACCCCCAAGTCCTTCTCCTCAGGGCTGCTGTCAATCAGGTCTCCACTCAACCTGTAGCTGTGTCTGGGATTGCCACAACCCAGGTACAGGACCCTGCACTTTGCCATGTTGAGCTCCACCTCTCCAGCCTGTCCAGGCCTCTCTGGATGGTATCACTTCCCTCCAGCATGTTAGCTGCTCCACAGAGCTTGGTGTTGGTGCCAGACTTGCTGAGGGTGCCCTTGATCCCACTGTACATGCCACTGACAAAGATCTTGAACAGCCATAGTGTCAGTACTGACCCCAGAGGGCACCCTCAGCAAGTCTGGCACCAACACTGCTTTTCATGTGGACAAGGAGCTGTTGACCACGATTGTTTGCGTGTGGCCTTCCACCCAGTTCTTTATCCACCAGGCAATCCATCCATCAAATCTATGTATATCTAGTTTGGGGACAAGGATATCATGTGGGACTGTGTCAAACATTTTGCCTAAGTCCAGGCAGATGATGGCAGCTGCTCTGCCACATCCATCAATGCTGCAGCGCTATCACAGAAGGTAATTGAATTTAAGAGTCATTGTTTGCCCTTGGTGAAGTCATGTTTGTTTTAATTTTCAGGACAATCTGCTCCATGATCTTGCCTCACACAAAAGATTAGACTTTTACTTTCTTCTTTTTAAAAATGAGGGTTATATTTCCCTTTCTCCAGATGTTGGGAATTTTAAATGAGTGCCACAAGTTTTCAAAAATTATTAATAGTGGTTTAGCAATTTATCTGCCAGATTTCTTAGAACCCACAGATGAATCTCATCAGGCCCCATGCCCTTGTGCATATTCAGGCTCTTTAGATGGTCTCAAACCTGATTCTCTCCTACATTGTGCTTAGGGTCTTCATGCTCCCATTTGCTGTTCCTGACTTGGCAGCTTGGCTGGAACACTTGCCATTGAACATTGAGATATAGAGGTCATTGAGAACCTCAGCCTTCTCTGGGTCCAGCATGCAACCAGGTTACTGTTAATGGTATGCTAAGCCTTTCCCTTCAAAGGTGGTAATTTTCAAGATGTGTTTCTGGAGCCTTGGTCATAGTCTGTGGGCTAGCTTGTTTCTTACCTTCTCCACCAGTGAGAGGTGCTGATCCAGACCTGGTTTCATTAGCTGGTGTGCTTTAATTGTTTTGTTTGCCCCTTCCTTTTGTCCCCCAAGTTAGTTTGCTCCGGGCAGGTATGTTGAAAGGAATAATCTGGTCTGTGTTCTGCAGCACATCAGACTAGAAGAGTGTGGTTTGACTCTGACTTAGAAGTTGTTCTGGTTTTGTCTCTTTCTAGATATGCAAGCTTATTACCAAGCTCCACCCTTGTCCATACTGCATTCTTCCTCTGACACAGACTGCCTCTTTTCCAAAGATCTCTTTTTGCTAAAGAGCACTATTTTGATGATAAAATCAATATTGACTTAAGGAAGAGGGAGCAGGAATACACGGCAGAGGAATGAGCATCCAGGGAGCAACATCTATTTTATATGTATGTGCCTTGATACAGGATTTTGCCTCAAAGCCCTTTTAAATGTTAACTATGTTCTCTCTTTCTTCCAGCCGAAAATCTCCCAAAACCTTGTTAGCCTTTTCATCATCACACAGTCCCTATGTCATGTCCCATGAGCTCCCAGTGCACCCCGAGAAAGAGGAGGAAGAGGAGGAGGAAGAGTTCCTGCCTCACCTGCTATTCCCTGACAGCACTGATGTGCTCATGAAAGTAGACAGGAAGTACAAAAAGAAGAAGAAAAAGCAGCAGAAGAAGCAAAAACTGCGACAATTTAATGACCTCTGGGTTCGCCTAGAAGAAAGGTAGCTAATGGCTGGGTAGGGGGAGGATGGCTTGTCAAACTGGACTTAGATGGTTTAATACAGACCCTCAGTCTTCTGCACAGGTAGATATATCCCGTGGACAGGATCTCACTTTCTCCACTGCTGTGATTCTTTCTGAAGCATTTGCACAAAGTTTCTTGTGCTTTTAGTGGCAAAAAAAAGCTTCCTTTTTCTTTTCTTTGCATAGTTAGATTTGTGGAAAACTAGGCATAAAACAAATGGAAGTCTTGTCTAGATCATTCTGCATGTGGGTTTGGGGGATTGTGGGCTTGTGGCAGTCCTCTCTTCCATGGAAGGCTGGGTCCAGTGGTAGATGGTACAGATCAAAGCCTTGGACCATTAACCAAAAGCTGCTGTGTATGAGGAAACTATCAACCCTGGCATGTGTTCTCCTTGCACTTGGGCAATAGTCGTGCAGCATTTTCAGTCTCTGTATTACTTCAGTCTGAAAAAGTATGACAGCCTAATGGATGGCAGAGTTTATATAAAAAAATTAGCATGTTGTGGGGCAGATGTTCACAAATATCCCTTACTTTTCATCCAGAAAAGCTTACTTACTTACCAGCAATCCAGAAAAAAAACTTTGAAAAGCCAGTTTCTCTCATTACTATAATAGGGCCTGTGACTGAATGTATACCTTAACGTTTCCCTCCTGTAGGTAACACACATGCCCAAATCTGCTTTCTTTTGTACCTTGTCTGTATCTCCGCCATACTCAGCTTGAGGCCATTAAATTTTTGTGATACCATAAACAACCAGACAGGTGGGGGTAATGGGAAAAAGTCTGACAGTTCTTGAAATGAAGCCTGTACATTGTTTGGTTTTTTCCTCTCTGAAGAATACTTCTTCCTGCTCCCCAGGCTACTGAGTACAGCAGAGTTCTCCTATGCCTTTCCTATCACATCCTTGGATCCTAATTGTACCACTGCTATGATTGATACATGGCTCAGGCTGGCCATGTGACTGCAGCAGCTGTTCTATTTGAGGCATTCAGCTATTGTCAGATAGTGTCTTTTAGATCACATTCCCTTCTTTGCTCCTCCCTTCAGCCTTAGTATTAAGTATTTGGGAGGCAGATGCTCATGTAACATGTCCTCTGACAAACCCACGCACAGTCCAAAACTCACCAATATAACAAATCCTACACTTGATTTTGTCTCTTAGTGTACCATTTACTTTCTGTTAATGTAGTTGATACTAGCTGATTGTGAATGGATTTTTGGGGTTTCTGTTGATAGTCTGTTTAGTTGAAATGCTAAGGAATGTCTGTCTTAATCTGCCGCCGTGCCTCCACAGTGCTGTGTTCAGTGTTTCACGTGCAGTTGCTCCCACAAAGCTCAGGGATGTCAGTGGGCAGTGACTTTTAAGACACCTGTGCACTTGCAGTATCAACCCTTCAGAAGAAGAGGGAAAGTGGGAAGATGTGCTACCATGACCAAATTGAAGGCACATTTGGGCTACATATTAGTTTTGAAGTACTCCCAGGCAGTAGTGAGGCACAAGCAAAACAAATCACGGCAGCCTAGGAAACTACTGCATAAATATGGTAACAGGAAATGCTGCTTTTCTTTTCTTTCTTTTATGTTTCCTTTCTTCCCCTACTATTTAAGCTGTCCTTTGTGCTAGAAGCTTACCCCGGTGCTAGGTGACAAACGCTTTGTAGGGGCGACTCCTTAGCAGCAGAGAGGAGCTTAAACGTCTGGAGATGGAGATGTTGCATAGCAGTGCTGGGAAAGACAAAGGATGTCTGAGAGACAGCGGTGCCCGTAGTGCCGAGGAAAGGCAGCTGTCCCTCAGGAGGAGCCCCACCCGTGCGCTTTGTAAATGCGGGCTGTCTGCCGGGCTCTGCCGCAGCGCCCGTGCCGCTCTGGGCTGGGCTGACAGCCCCACCTCGCGGCGCATCCCTTCCCAGGGAAAGCCAGCGCCTCCGGGCTCCCCCTCGCCTGCGCAGGGCGCATCTGACTGGGAGTCTCCGCCCAGGTTCTAAACATTCCTCAGGGTGTGCAGACACGGGTAAAGCGGTCAAGTTTCTTACGAATGGGCCATTCACAGCTTTCAGGTTTACGGATGGGCTTGATGACCTTAAAGGTCTTTTCCAACCTACATAACTCTATGATTCCTCCTGTGAGCCTGAAAATGTGAAAGGTGCAGCTCAAGTGATTTAGTAGTGTTGTAGTGGGCTTGTCAGAATGGCCTTGGTTCATGCTCCTGTATGCATCAGCTGCTGGCTGTATTTCCTTGATGTGCTGCCAGCTGGCTTCTCTCCGGCCATTGTTCAGATCTTCTGGAAGCCCTTTGGGAAAGGAAGAGTAAAGTGTTTTTAAAAAGGATAATAATTGCCTTTAATTTCCCAAAACATCTTTGCTTAGTGGACTGAAATAAGACAAGAATGGTGCACAGCACCTGGGGATTGGGTGCAGAAGAAATTACTTGGTTTTTGTATTTGCCAGCTGGACTTGCTTTTAGTTTTGGTTTTAGATTTGTCTTCAGGTTCTACACAGCACCATGCAGTCCAGGGCGGGTGTGTCAGTCGCACAGCTGTGGTGTCAAGCATTGCTTACAGTCCATTGCCAAAGAGAACAACTGTGTAGTATCTGACCCTTCAGACTCTTGGTCTGCTGTGGTATGTGATCTCCCCCAGTTCAGGTCATTTGGTGTTAGCAGTCTGGAGCATAAAAATTTCTCTCCTCCATCATGGATTGACGTTAAGGGAGTTCAGCTTATGTATGCTCTAATTCAGCTCTTGTTCGTCACAATGTCAGAGTACTCTCTACCACTGGGAGATACTCTGAAATGTGGTGGTCTGTGATGTGTTTCTGGAAGCCATTCTTCCTCTGCTTGAAGTACGTCACGTAAATCTTTGTAATTCCTGACCTGTGGAAGAGATCATACAGTATAGAAACAAGGTGGGTCCATATGAATTGCAGTGCATGAAGCATGGATGAGGAAGATGTACTCAGAAACAGCCTCACTCCAGCTGTGCTCAGCAAGTTCCCCTGCAGTGACACTCCTCTGCAACAACACTTGTTTTGTTCTTATCTATTTTCTGCTTAGCCGACAGAGGTTAGGAATATGGTCATCTGTCCCACTTGTGTGGGAGCAATGAGCAGGCTGGGTAGACTTGAGACAGGGCCAGTATTTTGGTGCTGTCATCACTCTCCTCTGTCTCTTCACTGTTCCCCCTCAAGTCTACTTCACAGTTTGGCTGGGTAGCACCTCATCCTTGTGGGCTGGTGTGGGAGCTGTCCACATGTGTGAGGAAGGGACAAAACAGTACTCTGCCATTTAGGAGGCACAGACTTTTAGTCAGGGCATATGTAACTTGTACAAGAGACCATTCACACGGACCCAGAAAACTGAGAGTGGGTCACAGCAGCTGACCACCTCCTGCTGTGTGGCTGTTGGGCAGCTGTGGGCTGGGTCAGGACTGATGTTCTTCTCTTGCCTTGCAGTGCTACTGATCCTCCTCCGCGGATCCGCATCATTAATGGCTACATCACGGTCGAGCCCCAGCCCCGGGGCCATGGGCGCTCCAGCCACACTCACGCAGACACCAGCAGTGCTCACCAGATTTCCCATTCTCTCTTCCTTCCACTACTGAGTTTGACTTTGCATAAGATAATGCTTCACTGAAACACAGGAGGACCCAAGCTGCAAGACTCTTGCCTTAAAAATCAAAAAAGAAACTTACGCAAAAAAGAAACTTATGCAAAAAAGAAATAGAAGACTGTGAGTGGGACACCCATTCTTTGGGGTGTTCTTAAACTGCCTCCTTTTCCTGAGTCCGGATCATTAACTCTATTAACTGGTTTGACCTTCCCAATAGAGGAGAAGATATTTTAATGAAAGTGTTATTTATCCTTCTCTTGCAGAAGAATGATTTCATGTTATCCCATAATACTTTGGGGAGATTATAATGCCGCTATAACATAGCTGTTGTTTAGCTGTTCGAGCCAAATTAAAGTACATATTTTCCACCTTGAATGCTTTGTAAAAAGATTTACATACCACTGACTTGTCTATTAGAGCAGAATATTTTGATCACATGAGCACAGCTGGGAAAGAGAGTCGGTACTTTATGTCTCTACTGGTAATACTTTCAATTGTTGCTTGCTAGGACTCCAGATTGCATATAGAGGTTCATGGCAACACCTGCAGTAGAATAAACCAGTGAACACTTGTGAACAGAATGTGTCTGCAGTCTGTTTGATGCTATTTAAGATGGGTACCCCTGAACCTCTAGTGGCCAAGAAAGGCTCATAAGTGCAAACTAATATACATTTAAGAAAAAAACCAATTCTGTGGGAACTTCACAAATCATAATGTTGGAGTCGCTCAAAAAGTTCTCAAGAGGTGATTTTCACAATTAAGACTAAATTCTAGAAAATTCTTTCAAGTTTTCTACTAAGTTCATAGCTAAGACTTTCCAAATTGTTTTAAGTCCTTTGCTGTCTCTGTGTTGTTGATTAGTGAATGTAAAGAAGCTTGGAAGTGGTGATGAATTTTCTGTATTTGTACAGGACATTCTCTTGTGATCACACTAAATTTATGAGCAATATTTCACCCCCATCTCTTAGCAGGGTTTCATTGCCTGGGAAGATGTCTTAAGTTTCACCCATGGGTGAACTTAGAGCCACTGTGTGGAGCTTAGTGACTTGGAAAGATAGTAGTCATCTATCCCAGTGAGACAACAAACCTTCAGGTTTCCTTTCTCTATGCCTTTACACAAACTTCACTGCTTTTTCCATTGACTGTAAAAAGTAGTTCTTTTTCATAGCTTTCTGTAGAACGTCAGAGGAGGAACAACAAAGGTTCCAGCTTTCCTAACAGGATTTTCATCTCTTGATCTCAAATTTCAGTTCATTTCCAGAAAGGCTGAACCTGAAAATAGCCTCTCTTTGCTGAGGAAAACAGAGAAAGGAGAGGCTAAGTGCCACAGTTAGCAGCAGCGTTGTGAGGAATTAAATATATCTGGGCTAGAGTAGAAGACAGCACCATCTCATTGTGTATTCTTTCTTACACATAGTACTGCAAGACTTGGAGTACCTGAATGCATTATGTCTTCCTTAGCTTTCACAGCAGCCAGGCTGATGATGTATTCTCATCATCAGAAGAGCTGGCAAGTAATGTCTCAACAGTTCATCACCTAGTCAGCAGGAATGGAAACTGATAATCCATGAAGTGTTTAGGTGTGAAGGAATACACAATAAATTGCCCAGGAATTATGATCTCAATGATGAAGTACAGTACAGAGATTGGTTTACAGCCTGAAAATTGACCAAAAAACCCTTTCCAAAATTTCAGTAGCAGCTGCTAAAAGAAGTTGAATATTCTTCAAATGTCCAGTACTTTACTGAATTTATCTGCTTTGACTAGTCTGCTTTCTCTACTAATGTGTTCAAGCTTTACATGGAATTTCTTGCACCTTAATTTCATTAAAACCCAAATTTGTTTTAAAACTTCTTCATGTTTGCAATTTAGCAACTGCATTTCTTAATGCATCACTTCTAATTTTTTTTTAAATGCAGAGTAAGTGTGCTGTACAGCTGGAGGTGTTTATGTCTGTTCTGTATGTGCTAAAACATAACATATTAGAGGTCTCTGTAGCACCTCTGCCTTACTGCACACAATCAGCTTGTACTGGCATGGCCCACCGCTCTATCTATCCACCACTCCCACTGGATCCTGAATCTTTTCTGTGCTTCACAAGTCTCCTACTCACCATTTTGTACAGTTAACAGGTCCAGAGCTCACACGCCCATCTCACGGGTCCCATACAATCACAGGTCCCCTCAGGTACCAGCACTGCTCCTCCGCCTACTTGGTACTTCTGCTCAGACCCAGCAGCTCCTGCTTGCTGATGGGTACAACTTGAGGTTTGCCAGTGAAGTGCACTCCAGACCTGCACACAATGGGTTGGCAGAAGATACAGACCCTCTCCTGCCCCATGGTTTGCCAGTGAAGTGCACTCCAGACCTGCACACAATGGGTTGGCAGAAGATACAGAAGAAGATACAGAAGATACAAATGGTGCCATGCATGTGTGCCTGTGACTTGAGGTCTCAGTCCAGCTGCTGGAGCTAAGCCTCTCACCTTCTTTGTTCTCCCTCACAGTTTCTGTTTTTCAGGATGCCCATTGTTGTCATGGTGGCTGGTGGCAAAGACTACCGCCCACTGTATTTAAGGAAAGATTTAATAAAGAGGATAGGACCAAGGATAGGACTTGATCAGTCACAGGGTATGTTCAGACAAGTGTAGAGAGCAGCAAACCAGGCTATTTTATATCGCTTCCTGTCTACTCCCTCTCCTTGTTTCTTCCCAATCTCCTTTCACTAAACATTCTTGTGTAAATTGTTCTTAGTCACTACCCCTCTCCCCTTGAACATCTCAAATCCTCACAATCCTCTTTTCCCCCCTTTTCTTATCAGTTATGAGGGTGGCCATCTCCAAAGCCGGGCCTGGGAGTCCCTTTCAATCATCCATCAATTAGTGACTAGAAACTTACAATCCTTGGCATCATCACTCTTACCTGTTTTCTATCACGTTTGTCTTTTTGTGTTCTTCCTTATCACTTCCCCTCTCATTTATTTTCCCTTTTGCACTGAATAGGTCCTTGATTAAGCTTAATTGGACAGATGCTCTTACCTTCACGTACCTACAGGACAAGACATTTTCCCAGTACAGTGACAAAAAGACAAGTGATTTTTATTGTTTGCAATGTGGATTTGAGTCAGGAATAGTACAGGCCAGGCCAAAAAGAGTACCAAACTCATCTTAAAGCTTCCTTTGCTGAAACCAGCTCTATATTCTAAACCCAAGAAACATAACTGTATTCCTGTCTGTGAAAGTCCAGCATGGAAAGAAAAATAGTAGGTGATGCAGTTAAAAGGTGATGCATGACACCTGGATCTAATAGCTTGTCTGACCTCGTGATGTAGCAGTGGTGCCACCAGCACCTTGCACTGAGCCCAGTGGAAGCAAATGACAGCATCTTTTTTTTAGCTTACTTGTGGCTTGTGAATGATGTGTAGCTTGCAGGAAGCATGGCTGCTGGATGACTGCCAGAGCAGATACAGGGATGCCCTGTGTATTAGAAACTTGTTTGTCTAAAACGCATCACTTCTGAATTGAAACTGTACCTTTAACCTACTTTCTCAAGGTCCAAACTGTTTATTAGTAAGTTTAAAATGGACACCAACACATTAGACCACAGTCATTGAGGCATTGAGAAAAGGGAAGCAAATACATAATGCATGCCTTTTGTGATAATACCTGTCTGATCTCTGAGATGCCTCTTCTTGGCCTGACCAAGAGTTTTCAAGGAAACTCTTGCATAGTCATTGATTGTCCATAATCCAGGTGTTGAGCTGTTCACGGAGGTGCCCAAATGTGCAGTATGCCTCAGCTAACACTAGATGTTGCCCATGTACTTCAGAAGCTGATAGTCATCACGCAAAAGGAAACAGGCTTGAGGCTTTCGGAAAACTACCCTAGGTACATAGCTATGGGCTCCCTACTTCAGAATTATTTCAGTCAGCAGTACAACTAGATTTCTGCTTCACTTTAAATGGTGGTTAAGCTTTCTTATTCTTCTCACCATTGTTCATATCTGGCCAGTCCTGTCTGAATGGTGATCTGAAAGGAAACTCTTACCTGCCTTCTTAAAATTTTCTTTGGGATTTTTTGGAGTTTTTTTTGTTACCTCTGTATGAAGCAGTGCTACCCAGGGTGGAAATATGCACAGTATAAGTGGATGTGGCAAAGTTGTTACTAAGCCTTCAGTACATGCTCACTGTTTTCTGTCTGTGTCCTCTGTGTCTTGTTCTGTTTGTCATCTTCTTCTCTCTTGAACAAAAAAAAACTTATGTGGTTAAAACACTGGAGTGGAAAATTCGAGTACTTTGATCAGATTCCTGCTTATCCAGGCATAATTTACCTGTTTTAGATTAGTTTTGCTCTCTTTGGGCCTTGCTGTCTCTTTTCTTAAGAAGGGCCGTAGTGGTGCTTCCTCCCCACATAGGGGTGTTACATTCTTAAATATATACCTAAGTGCTTGAACCAGACTGATAAAATTATGTGGGAGAAAAGTACACTTAGAGATAAAACCATTACCTATATTAAAGATGAGAATTCTATCCCACAATATTCAGCTCTCTAGGGTGTCATGTATTTGAAGGAATTAATGGCCAGTGTACATACAGTCCTGGCAGCCAATTCCTCTGAACTCTGGCCAGACCACTGCTCTTGTTCTTTTGAGGCGTACCTTGAAGCCTTTGCCATATGCAAATCCTTCAAAGTGCTTTAATCATGACTCTTTCACAGAAAATGAAACCACAGGAGCCCTGAATTCCATCCAATGACCATAATTAAACAGCAGGCTGGCTGTAGATCTATCACCCTGCTGCAGGAGAGACTCTGCACTACTTCTGCCTCTTTACCTGTGAGAGAAAGCCACTTCCGCTCCCAGTCCTTCTGCCTTTCTTGAAGAAATTATCTTCCTTCCTGGTGTGCTAACAAAAAGTATCATCTGTGATTTTTTGGTTTTACTGCTCTTCTTCTTGGGATTCATATCACTTTTGGTTTTTATATCAGTTATTCTCCCAGTGGAATCGAGGTGCTTCATCTTAATTCTTAATGTTATACAGCATTTCAAACACAGACTGTCTGGATGATAAATCCATGTACTCTATCAGACATGCTCAAGGCCTGAATGACTGGCTACTAACAAGCAAAACATAGCTACCTAGTGCATGTCCTCCTGCTTACTATTTTGATTCATCTTTCACACAGAAAGAGGTCCTTAGCAAGACAAACTCAATGACCCATTTGTCAAGGATCTCTGACTATACAGAAATCTCACCAGGTAATTTTCTTTCTCTGGACTGGTCTGTGAGTGACTTCTCTGTAGTCAGACTGAATTAGAAAAATCTACAACACAGACTTCATCTGTTTGAAGAGAGAAAATAGAAGATTTGACATTTAATTGCCACAAAGTTAGACAGCAGGAGTGTTTGAACTATTGTGGGTTTGTCCTGGCAGGCAGCTGAACCAGACAGCCACTTGCTCAGTCCCCCACAGTGGCGTGGGGAGAGAGATGGAAGGGTAAAAATGACAAAACTTGTGGGTTGAAACAAGTCAGTTTGATAGGTAAAGCAAAAACTTTGTGTGCAAACGAAGCTTCAGCAGGCAGGTGTTCAATTGTC